AGCAGTCAATGTTTAAGAGTTTATAGTAAATGTGAAGGTGAAGAAAAGCACTAAATTGGACTGTTGCATGAGAATAAAATACTGCATTGCTGTTGGAGGGAGTTCTTTTGCACTGGCACTTGTGCCAAAGCGGAGAATGAAATCAAGCTGCGTGCCGATCCATCAGCGAAATAGCAGTGTTTTTCATGAAAAGTTTGAAATGCAGTGCTCTGAACGTTAAGCCAAACTCAATAACAAATCACAGCCAGATTTATGTTCAACTCAGCCTAACTTATGAGTACTTAATGGCTAAGTAAATTAGACTTTGTCTAAGACTAAGACAATCCGTGGGAAATCCTGTAAAATGCCTTTGGGCTTCTCGGCAGGATTGGCGTCAGCTTAACTCTCAGTCTTAAGGTGAAGTGTGTGAGACCCTCATGGTGTAAAGATCCCTAATGTTCCCATTAACTTCCAATTTAACGAGGTCAAAGCTGTGTTGAGGAAGTTATGCACTAGCAGCAGATTTGAAGGATTCCCTCCCTACTCACAATATTTGTTACTGCAGAGGACAAAGGAACAGTTGACCCAGGAGAAAACAGGGTCTTAAGTGGCTTAAGGGTTAAATGGTGCTAAAACTAGAACAAATTCAGTAGCTCTTCTGATCCTGGGCTGCCCCTTAGATCAAACCTGCAACCAGCCAAGATCCTTAACCACAAGCCTCTTTCCATTTCCTGAACATGCCCCAATACAAAATGACTCAAAGTGAAGAGTTTAAGAGTTTCAGGTCTTTCAAAGGATCACAAAAATGACCAACTTTTAAGAGATTTCCCACATTAAATGGATAGTAGGGCTGGGCGGTATATCGAGTTTGTACGATATATCGATATTTTCTTTATAAGAGATTCGATATGAGGCAATACCGTTTATATCGATATACAGTAGTTTGATACGAGCGCATCTGAAAATATAGTGGAGGACACAGACTGAGCTGCTGCGGAGAAAGTGCATAAATTTGTTCTAAACATGTGACAAGCTTCATATTAAGGCCTTTAAAAACTGGTAAGACAGTTTATAGTTTCGTTTTGCATATTAGTTTAAGCGGCTCGGCCCGTCATATGCTCGGACAGAAAGGCTGCATATGCCGCTGACAGAGACACTAGGCTACTCGCGCTGTTTAATGTGTTTGAGATGTGCTGTCTTCCTGAATGCATAACTTGCATTTCACATGTATATTCTCCATCTGTAAAATTAAAATGTTAGAAAGCCATGGAAATATTTCCATTTTTCTGTCAGAAGTGCATGAGCCTTCTGCTTTGGTATTCTCCACTAAACTTCACAGACGTCACTTCAGTGAACGAGCGCCGCCACGCGCATGCGCACCAAACAGACAGAGCTCAATTAAATAGTAGCGCAATAATTCTGACTAAAATATACATTTCTCTGAAATATTTGTAGTTGGACAATAAATGTGACATGTAGAATTTTAAACTTACAAGTAAGTCTATTTTTATGATAGCACTGACTGTAAAGTGACTGTAATGGGGTAATCAAAATAGCCTAACACTGTTTGCTTTTTAGTTTAGTGAATTTAACTTCCGCTTTAAAAGCCTTATTTTTGTTTTTAGATTGCAATGTTACAATGAAATGTGATTTTAACCCCTTTTTGCACATATTATAAAGGCTTACATGGTTACATTCACTTTATTTGTTTTCATAGCCTTTAATATGTATTGTTTTGTTGGACAACATTGGGCGGTAAGTGAAATGTGTGTGTGTGTGTGTATATATATATACATATATATATATATATATTTTTTTTTTTTAATACAGATTTTGTTTAATCCAAATACAAAAACGGTTATACCAAGATATATACCGTATATCGCAAATCGGCCAAAAAATACCAAGATATTAATTTTTGCCTATATCGCCCCGCCCTAATGGATAGAAGGTGTTATTCTACACAGGGAAGCTAAGTACTTGTTAATATACTCATATTTAGTGGTGTTGGGGATTTGAACAAAGCCCTAAACCTAAATACTAAACTTTGCTGCAGTAATCAATACCTGTAATTGTGTGGCTTGTGGAGGAGAGGTTTCCGATTACTTATCCAAGCAATATGACTTGCCTTTTTTTCTCCTTGTGGACTACGATAAAACCAGATGAGGTGCTGGGGTGGGAATCTACTAACCACAATCAAACTAACCACAAGGTAGCATCAAGGCTGAGACTTTTGAACCGTTCACTGTATTTAGAAACCGTAAAATCTAGTTATGATAGTTATACTCTGTGGCTGTCCATCAGACAAACCTTATCTACACCTCTTAATCCGACAGACAGACAAAATACAGAGGAAGCCAGTACTGCTTCTTCCTCTGCTGTCTGCTGTAAGTGCATTACAGGACAAATCCATAATAAGGCTGAAAAGACACAGGGCAAAAGGTCACACAACCAGCACAACACACAAAAATAACACATCAGTAAAGCTCAGAATAACAAAAAAAGTTGTTTTGTGTATGTGTGTTTTTTTTTAATTAATTAATATTGATTAAAAAATAAGATTTTAATGTTTCTGAAAAAATTCTCTTACTATCACCATAACGACATTTCTTTAATAAAACACTGAAATATTGTAAAATATTCTTAGAATTTGTCAAAATATTTCAAACTGAAAAACTTTAAAATTTTTATATTAAAATGAATATTAAATACATTTTAATTTATTCCTGTAATACCATATAGCTGTTTTTTTCAGTGTCACTTGATATAGTGGTCAATAAACATTCATTATTATTACCAACACTGAAATCAGTTGAGCATACTGAAATCAGTATCATACCATATTTTTTTCAGAATTCTGTGATAAATAAAATTGTGAAAGAACAGCATTTAAAAAATATTATAATGATAAAAAGTATTATTTATTATTATTATTATTATTATTATTATTATTATTATTTTAAACATTATGCATGTATTTACTATCACTTTGTACAATTTAATGCATCCTTGCTAATTTAAAGTATTCATTTAGCAAAGAAAAAAAGTTAAAAAAAAAATAAAAAAAAGGTATAGTATGTAACTGAATCAGTATTAGTTCAGTGTGAACTCAAAACTCAAATTAAACTTAAAAGAGGAAATGTGAGGAGATCAGTTTCATTAAAGGGGTCATATGATGCTATTTTAAAGATCATTATTTTGTGTATTTGGTGTAACAGAATATGTTGACATGGATTTGAGACTTTAGTCTTTGCAACTTTACAGATCTTCTTTATGCACCAAGAGCTTGTAACTAGGGCTGTGTGATTTGGGGGAAAATATCAAATTGCGATTTTTTTGACAGATATTGCGATTGCATTTGATTTGCGATTTTTAAATTTGCAAGTCAAGCTTCAGCTCAGTATTGTCAATAATGTGCAGTGCAGCACAGTATGGGTATCATTACCCTGCTGAAAAAAACAATAGAAACCATCACAGAAATTCTTATAGTTTCCTAACTATCGATCTGACCCAGAAGACGCCATAATCCCACTCTGTCTCTCTCCCGTCCCGGTTTTTTTTTAATGGTGGGTGTTTACGCAGTTGGCTAGAGCAGTGCTGATTGGGGAGAACGGAGGTGCGCTCACTCTTGCCCAGGGCAAGTAAGATTGCAACTCAAGGCTGGCAGTCATGCATATGCCCTGGAACGGAGTAATATTGCGTCCACATCGCAGGCTTTGCGATTAGGAAATCGCAATGTCTCAAATCGCGATTTTGATTCGATTTCGATTAATCGCACAGCCCTACTTGTAACACTTCAAAGAGAAAGGAAAACTTGAAATCGCATCATATGACCCCTTTCATCGAGAAAAGGAAAACAGCTCAAATTAGCTGGGCTCCTGAGAGTGACAACACTGAGAATCTTTTCTTCGGTTCTTTCTCATCCATCACTTCCTCTGAGAGACAGAGACCGAGGCTTATGGAACCCAGATGGGTTTTGAAATGTTTATTGTGTAAGAGGTTCATCTAGCAACCATTACTTGAGACAAGTGCTCTTTAAGTGCCATTTCAGGAAGGGAAAAATTCATTACAATCAAATGTCCAACCTTCAGGGGGTGTTCTTACACAGACTCTTCAAACTGTTGCAGTGCTATATCTCATGTTAGCTCTCATCTATTTCAAATTTGACCTCAGCTGTGCATTGTGAAAAAAGCTACAGAAATAAATTTGAATTGAACTGAATAGCTGTACCAGTCTGTACTAGATAGATAGATAGTCTACAAAACATACATCATCATCTCTGAAAGCAGAACATGCTCGTTTGAGAATAGTTTTCATTCTCTCACACATAATGGTTTTATGAACAGTGCTCTAATATTGCGTTATACTATATTGTGCATAAATCCCATGAGTCAATTATGTAAAGCCACGCCCCGGGTGGAGACCACACCCGTTATAAATAGAACTCTCGCTCACATCTGCGCCCGACAGCATAATTATAATAATAATAACAACAACTGGTCACTTTAAACATACAATTGACCAGCGCGAGGTTTGCATAAGCATCATCACCAGCGCGTGCATGTTCTAATCAAGAGTAGCGTTTGCAACACTCCTAAACGGATCTCCATGCAGAATCTACATTATTAAACTAAATTAAACAATGTAAAAAAAGGAAAATTATTACAATCATGCCGATATGGCCAATAAGGCAAAACGTCATTTACACAGCGCATTTTTAATAAAAATGTATAATCAAGTGTTACCTTCAGTGAAGCACGTGTTAATTCGTTTTAATCGTGTATCTGGTTTAATATATAAATGAGTATATATAATGGGCTCGGTGTGCTATAATTATGAGATAACTTGACATTTTTGATAATTGTAATATCGTAAACTGTTTGCCCATCTGCTCACGCTCATACGGATATCAGCGCTCGAGCGCTTAGCCAGCTAACCCCTGAACTACACAAACCTTTACATTTATGACCCCTATCTTGTTATTAACCTTACACCTAGAGAGGACGAAACATATGTCTTACCTTAGTGAAATTCCTGCAAGCGTTTTACCCTTTATTGACCTATACCTCGTCGGAGAGCAAAAAATTCCCGCACCCGTCTTCTCTGTCTCAGCCCAAGGGCGGTAACACAGGAAACCAGACACTAGAAATGCCCTGGTGATTGACATTCACAACAGCCAATCAGAATGTAAGAGCACGCCCATAAACCACAGTTCCCGCCTACTGGAAACACGCAACCAACTAAGACAAGAACGCTTTTAGGTTTTAGGACAACTTTGATGAAAGACTAGTGTAGTATGATATAGAAGAACATGGAGCTCTTACTTGTGAAGGGGGGAAAAAACACAAGCCCAAATTATTCATAGGCCCAGTATGTTATGCTGTGATAGTAGGCTTTAGTGTTAATGAAAATAATACACAATACTAATTGTTTACTCTGTTATCATGTGAAATGTTTCTGACGGACAGTTTTATGGTCTGTGATTTCATGTGTAATGAAGTTAAACTAAAGTATACTTTAAGTCAGCTTGGATAAAAGCATATGCTAAATAATTTAGTAAACTAATGTATGTGTTGATGTGTTTGATCCAGATTCCGGCTCTGGTTCCGGCTCTGATTCGGGGCATGAGAGACCCAGATCTGCCAGCAGCGCCTCTGGCAGCGAGAGTGACCGAGATCATGACAGAGATGAGGATGAAGATGGTGGAAAGCCGAGCAATAAAGAGCTGTTTGGAGACGACAGTGAAGACGAGCGTGGAAGCCAGCACAGCGGCAGCCAATCAGAACGATCCGGCAACCAATCAGACATGAGTATGCACTCGGACAACGAACACAGCGGGTCAGAGGGCCATCATGAGGTGGACGATGATGACGATGAGAGGGGCCACAGATCAGATGTGGGGAGTCCAGCCTCAGGAGCAGGAAGCCAGAGGTCTGACAGAGGAAGTGGAAGTCCAGGGTCAGAGGCAGGCAGCCCACGCTCAGAAGCAGGAAGTGGGCATTCAGATCCCGGCACACCTCATTCAGACGGAGAGGGGTCAGGGAAAGATGTCCATTCTGGAGATGAGAAGTGGGGTGGAAAAAGTGACCAATCAGAGGATGAGGACAAACAGCAGAACTCAGATGATGAGAGGGATCATTCTGACGATGAAGGGGAGAGACAAAAATCAGGTGAGGTATATTGGAATGGTGTATATATACATAGAACAAGACTAAGAAGAAATACATGCATGTGTTGTGACATTTTTCATGTGAAGTTCTCTTGTGCGTAAAAATATGAATAATGTGCACAATTATTAGTGAATGAGACCCAATGTATTTGTGGCAAAAAAAATGAAGAACTACTTCTCAGGCAGCCCCTGAAATGTTATTATTAGGGTTGCAAAAAGGTGGAAAATTTCCAGTAAATTTTGGAAACTTTCCAGGATTTTGGGGAATATTCCAGGGATTATTGGAAAGTTTCAGGAAATTTATCGGAAATTTTCCACCCCTTTGCAACCCTAGTTATTATTGGATAAAAAATGTATCTATAACCTTTTTATTTTAACAAATCTTTGTGTTTGTGTTTGTGGTCATTCACTTCAGAGTCAATGAAGGGCAGTGACAGCGAGGAGGAATTCACTCGGAAGAAAAAGAAAAAAATAGCTTCATACTCTGACTCAGATTCTGACCCTGATTCACAGAGTGAGTGATAGATGATTGAATGAATGATGAAACACACTGTCATACACACAGCAGCTCTGTTAAACTCTGTTTGTGTGTGTGCGTGTAGGTAAGAAGCCAGCAGCAAATGATCTGTTTGGGGAAGCAGATGATATTTCATCAGACAGTGATGCAGAGAAACCTCTCACACCTGGGCAACCAATGGTCAGATATTTGCACACACAGCCTCAGAATTTATATTTTCTGTGATTGGTCACATTTTATTTTAAGGTCCAATTCTCACTATTAACAAATCGTTAACTATGACTTTTGTCTCAAACTCCTAATTTGCTGCTTATTAATAGTTAATGTTAGTAAGGTAGTTGTTAAGTTTAGGTATTGGATAGGATTAGGTATGTAGAATACGGTCATGCAGCATATGTTAATAGTAGTAGTAAGCAACTAGTTAATAGTAAGAATTGGTCCTTATACTAAAGAGTTACCATATGATTAAGCTCAGATTAAAGTCATTTTCGTTATTTTATTTGAACATATTCCAGTTTTTTTATGCTGTAACTTTTTCTTGCACTGTGTTTACGCTTGTTATTAATACTACCAATCTAGATGTGCCAGCAAAAGAAACTGCAAAAATCATAGTCATGATTATTTAACACAATTAGAGGTGGGTGATATGATCAACATATTATTTCATGATATGAATAATTTTAGATATCAGTGAATTTTTGCAGGTTTTTTTATACCAATTTTAAGTTAAAAACGTCCTTCATACAATAATTGAAGACAACAAGAATACATTAAAGTCCCCATGAAATCAAAATTTAAGTTTTTTTGGGTGTTAGTATCAATATGTTAGTCTTAAGGTTATCTATAAGGCAGTGTGCTCCACTGGATGCAACAAATGCCTCGTTTGTAATGGGTTTTAATGTTTTTGTCTCGTCGCTCCGGCCGGACATGGCATCACAGTCTGGTGAGGGGCGTAACATTTCCGTCTCACGCTTGAGGTATTCGGCCAATCACAACGCATTGGATAGCTGGCCAATCACAGCACACCTCGCTTTTTCAGACCGATGAATGCCAAGACGGGCATTTTTTTTGTGCGTGTTTGGCTGTTTAGGCAAGTGCCTATGTACTTGCTTGTTTGTGTTCCATGCTATTTAAGAGTGTGTGCACAGATTTTTTTTTTTTTCCATTGAATCTCCAGCAAAAATAATGATGGTGTTTATGTATATGCAATTACTGTGATACCATTTTAATATGTTTGCCACACTGCTAACTCCTAATGTTAGGATGCTCTCCGTGATTGGTTGGCTTATAAAAGTTCACTAAAATTTTAATGCATTATATTCTACACTTTTTCTTCAGGGATGCAAACTTGTTGTTGTTTTTAGTCCAAAATGGGTCATCTGTGTAGGAGTCTGCAAGGAGTCATAGGCAATGATATGAGAATCAAAAAAACAAAAACAAACAAACCCCAAAACGAAAGAGCTTTGCGCTTGGTGCGGCTTGATTCACATGCGAGCAGCTCAGGATCCAGTGTTTGCATTGCCTGAAGTGGCTTGCTTTAATGCTGCTCGACACAGTTCATCTCTTCAGTTTGGGTCACTTAAAATGCACCTTTGTAAATGCAAATGCAACAAAATGTTTGAAAGCAAAAAAAATAATTACAGCCATGAATATTACTATTGTAATTTTACCCGAAATAAAATGATTGTTGTTATTTATTATTATTTTACAGTATAATAGCATTATTACTATAGTAATATATTTCTTTATTTGTATTTTTAATTTATTAAAAACAATTAATAATAATAATTATATTGTCACCTTTTTCACCCCTGACGAGATTGCATCCCTGCTTCTGTCTCCCAAAACAGTCCTAATTTAGATTTATAAGCATTAGAATGACTTTTTTTTTTTTTTTTTTTATCCTCTCTTAACACCTGACTGATCTGAACTGAATTAACAGGATGCTGAGGATGGTCTGGAGGGAGATCAGCCCGAGGAGGAGCCAGTTCCAGAGACAAGGATCGAAGTGGAGATTCCTAAAGTCAGCACAGATCTGGGCAGTGAGCTCTTCTTCGTCAAATTACCCAACTTTCTCAGTGTGGAGCCCAGGTGTGTCAATGTCTCCTGGAACGCTGACCTGAAGTTGCTAAATGCTTCATCCATACAGTCATTTGACTGTCTGTCTCTTTCCTCGCTGTCTCTCCATAGGCCATTTGACCCTCAGTACTACGAGGATGAGTTTGAGGATGAGGAGATGTTAGATGAGGAAGGACGAACCCGTCTGAAGCTGAAGGTGGAAAACACCATCAGGTGGCGCTCTCGGCGTGATGAGGAGGGCAATGAAATCAAGGATAGCAATGCACGAATCGTTAAATGGTCCGATGGCAGGTGAGGATACGCATGCAGATTTTAGTCTTGAAGTGCTGAGTAATGTTCTTAAGGTATAATGAAGTAAAGCTATGGAAATCCGCATTACTCTAATTCTGCAGCATGTCTCTGCACCTGGGGAATGAGGTGTTTGACGTGTATAAAGCTCCACTGCAGGGTGACCACAACCACCTGTTCATCCGCCAGGGTACAGGACTGCAGGGTCAGGCTGTGTTCAAGACCAAACTCACCTTCAGGTGTTTCTCTCTCTCTCTCACAAACACACACTTTTAGTTATATGAACAGTGACACTGCATAGATTTCTATTGTTTTTATGTACACCTAGTTATACATACTATAATCTAACCCACACCCTAACCCTTACAGAAGAGACTCTGCATTTTTAAAATTCTAATAATAAAAACTTTTTCATACCATTTTTACAAATGAGGACACCCCCAAAATAAGACTTTTGGGAGATTTTTTTTTTGTCACATTTAGCTCACTTCTGGCTACAAATTTGTTCCCAAAATATGACAAAGTAGGTGCACACACTACAGCTGTTATAGAATTGATAGTAGTGTTATTTCACTGGTTGGACGCTAGGTGGCGATATGGGGCAAATTTCACTATACAATTGCTTGCGCAACAATTCAAGGCAGTTTGATACTAAACTCTTAACTTTTAATATATATATATATATATATATATATATATATTATTTATTTAAAATGAAACTGAAAAGGAAATATGAAATGATTAATTTACACACTTCAACCTAAAATAAAGGAAACATGAAGTGCACATTTTATATATAAATATAGTGAGTTTTAACTATTAGACTATTGTTTCAAGTAAATATAGTAAACTTTAAAATGTGTCTTGAGACCTATGCATTCTCTTTCCATTATAGGAGATTTATAATACGTTCATAAGGTGTAAACAAATTAATTATTTTAAAGAAATATTGTGGGTTTAACAAGTAAATTATGGTTACATTTAAATTAGTTAAAATTTAGCTGAAGGCCACAAAGGCTGCCACATAATGAAAATATTATTGATACAAAGTGTCTTCAAAATGTGGTATTACTTTAGATTAGGGAACACACATTCACTATTAACAAAATATTTCCCTCAATAAACTCCTAATTTGCTGCTTATTAATAATTAGTAAGGTAGTTAAGTTTAGGTATTGGGTCGGGTTAAGGGATCTAGAATATGGTCATGCAGAGTAAAGCATTAATATGTGCTTTATAAGTACTAATAAACAGCCAATATGCTAGTAATATGTATGCTAATACGCTACTAGTTAATATTGAGAACTGGTCCTTAAAATAAAATGTTACCAAAAAAGATTAAATAATTGATTAATAGTTGAACACTGGGAGCTGTGTATTTCATGTTTTATCGTGACTGAAATGCTGTATTGACCAATCAGCATCCAGAACCTCAACCAACATTTTGGTTTAGCTATGGATTATTGAGATGTTGAACAGAAACCAATCCACCAGCAGGGGTCTCTCAGGTTTGTTAAATAGCATGGACATGAATGCTTTGACACCAGTGCTTTTTTTTTTTTTGTCAGCAAGATTTTAGGTTTAAATTTAGTACATATTTCAAGTTAAGTATTTTTAATCCTTTTTAAGCTTTTTTGCCATGTGACAGATTTTGAAAAGTACACCTGTTTCATGCAGTTTCTCCATTAATATGCATTTAGAATAATTCTAAAATGTTTAAAGTGGTTTTATATTATTATGCGTGTGTCTTGCAGACCTCACTCCACAGACAGCGCCACACACAGGAAGATGACCCTCTCACTCGCTGACCGCTGCTCAAAGACACAGAAGATCCGCATTCTGCCCATGGCCGGCAGAGACCCAGAATCCCAGAGAAATGAGATGATAAAGGTAAAACAAATGCATTTCACTCAGCAAAGAGATTTAAGTTTAGTCCGAGACTGATGGAAAATTCTGCAGGTTTCATATCAATGCAGAAATGCAGTGAGTTTTCAGAGGGTGGTTATCACACAACTTAAATCATCCTTAATGAAAACTCTTCTTCCTGAAAACCTGGAGATTTCAGAGGATACTAGATCATAAAGCTGTCCTGCTAGGGAGTTTAACCGATATGTTTTGGAACTTAAAGGACAAGATTACACACAGTAATTCAGCTTTTGTCATTTCATTTTACAAAATCTCATCATAAATATCTGATAAGCTATTGCATAAGACAGCGGACACATAACAGACTTATCAGAGTCTGTGAAGATCAGGCCATCTCGGCTCACAGCACGTTTCCTCACACACAGCAGATCTTGGCAGCAGCGGGTTATGCGTGTATGATTTCAGCCGTGTTCTCTAAACAGATTGTCCGACAACTAAAGTGGAGTACTGTAAATGTTTTTATCTATTTCCTCTCTCATTTATCTCCCTCTGACCAGAAGTCTAATGTCCAAAGAGCCAGATTCCATATCAGATGGACAACCATAAGTCAGTCCCAAAGACCCAGACACCATTAGACAGCCTTGCTGGAGTTAAAGTGCTCTGGATCATTTCTCTCATAAATGAAGAGCTATAAAATTTTTTCACAAGTTTTATTGAAAGTGGCTTTCACAGATAATAATCATGCATAAATAGTGTTTATGCTGTCTGGACCTGTTTATGACTCGGCTGGGCCTGAATTTACATTGTATACCATTCAAATGTTGGGGTCAGTAAGTTTATCATTATTTTAGCAAAAATTGAGCAAAAATTACAGTGAACACTTGTATTTTGTTTACTGTAATTTCTGTTTTGAATAAATGCTCATTTTAACTTTTTATTTATAAAAGAGTCTTGAAAATGTATCACAGTTTGTTTTGAAATATATTCAAAATAGAAAGTTTTTTTTTTTAATTGTGTAATTTCACAATATGTCTGTTTAGTATCTGACAAACCCCAGCAATCTCTAAAATTATTGCATTAAAAAAAATCCTTATCTGGTTATGATTGACTGGAGAGGTCATGGGAAAGTCATGGAAAATCACTGGTGAAAAGTGTGGGAACTCTGGATTAAAATTTAATATACAAAATTATTTATTAAATCCAATAAGGATTAGTTTTTAAATCCTTTGTTATTACTCAGATAAAATGCATCTATATTTATCTCCACATTGACTAATAAACTAGGATGTGTTCATTCAATGTAATCCTGCAGTGACGGTGATTTTTTTTCTTTTGTGTGTGTGTGTGTGTGTGTGTGTGTGTGTGTGTGTGTGTGTGTGTGTGTGTGTGCGCTTCAGAAGGCCTTTATTAACCCCCTGGAGCCGTGTGGAGCATTTTTTATGATGGATGCATGCACTTTTTTGGGCTTCAAAATCTCAACACCCATTCACTGCCATTATAAAGTTTAGAAGAACCAGGACATTTTTTGGGGGTAATTTTCATGTTTGGGTGAACTATCCCTATAATTTTTATGCTGTTTTGCTGTTTCAGTTGCAGAAATCCGTGCATCAATAATAAGAATTTCCGTACAGTAGTACCAATGCAGATACATGGTACCCCCAAACTTCTTTTTTGAGGAACCCTCTTTAAACAAACTTAAAATCAAATCCAGTCACATCTGCACCAATAGCTATAGTGTGAAAACGCCCGTCTCTACAGGAAGTAGGTCAGTTGAAATGGCCTCTGAACTGCGGTGGGGTGCTGTGTCTGTCGTCTATATTGTATTCCCTCGCTCTCCCATGGGTCAGTGTTTCTGCACAACGGATTCTTTAATTGAGTTTGAGACCTGCTGCGATCAGCTAGAACATTCTGCACTGCAACAACAGCTTGTGTTCCCAAAACAGCACGTCTCACGCACATGCTTTCTCACTGACAGTCTTACAGCCGTTAGCCGATTACCTGCCGGCTCCTTAATATTGCATTATGCCGGAGTCCGACTGAGATTTAGATTAGTTTGATTTGTTTGTGCCAATAAGAGGCATTTACTGAAAGAACATCTCTCTGGAATGCTTGAAAATCAGTCCTGAATTCTTGTTTGTTTGTTTGTGGGTCATAGAGGAACGAGCCAGGATCTATTCTTCAGACAGCGATGAAGGTTCTGATGAAGACAAGGCCCAACGGCTGATGAAGGCCAAGAGACTGGACAGTGATGAGGTGAAAATTTCAGTCCAAATAGACAGTTTGAGAATTAAAAACCTTCAAAAATGGAATGGTAATAACTAGGGCTGGGTTTTAACACAAATTTCACGATTAGATTCTCATTTACAAGCTTGAGATTCAATTCGATTACCGATTCGATTCGATTCAATATCGATTAATTTCGATACGTCAGGTACAGTACATGCCAAATATTCAAAGAAAAAAAATCTCAGTTGGTAATACATTTACTATAATATTGAAGGTTAAAATTAATTGATTTGTTAAAATTACACTTAATGAAGTTTTTAAAATAATAAAGTTACAATTACGTAATTATATTTCTACTTCTATTCGGTTTTTTTTAAATCTGACTAATGAGTTTATGGTCACCGAATATGTTTTTTCTGAGGTAAATCTGACGTTAGGTGACATTGTTTACAAGATATATTGACGTCTTTGCGCGGAGGAAACACTGATTGAGCGATTACATGAGACAGGATACGGATTATAAAGTTGTACTCTTTCTTTTAACTTGCCTTCGGATGTTTAGTCATGTTTATTTTGTGTTGAAACTGATCTTAATATGGAGGAGATGATTAGTTCACGTGCGCCCTGTGCTGCCGTGTCTGTTGAACTGAGGCCCTAAAGCTATCTGCCACTCCACATTAAACAGCGCCAAAACGGCATTTATTGTTTAAATACAGCAATAGAATGGACAGAATTTGAAATCTGAGACTTTGTTTCATATTAAAAGTACCAAAGCACAATGCTTATTGCGATATATTGGATGGGAAGTGCCCTTCAATGTTC